GGGGCTAACTTGCAACTCAGACAACTATGAAAACCAAAAAAATCTCAGTTGCGTACCGCCATTAAATCCTCGCTGAACAAACTGGTCAAAATCTGCCACACATACTGATGGGGAAAACAAAAATAAAAGAAGTCCCCATCCCCCCTCTACCAAAAAATACACAAACGCCCTGACAGTACTAACATCAATCTACGCATTTAGGTGCGTGCATGCACTGAACCCATGGATAAACAAACGTAAAAGGAAAAAGAACAGAAAAATGGACTGGATTTGTCGTCGCCTGCAACAGCGCCCTTTTTTTTCAAAATCCAACAGGGCCCTTCTTGAATAGGGAGCGAGTGGACTGACGAAAGGAACTCTCCGGACGAAATTATAACGCGAGCAGCTCGCCCCCTCTCCTTCCCATCGAAAAAAGAAAACGGAGGCCCATAGAGTAGTCCGCGACCCCAGACAACCACGAGAAAAGCCCACACGCGGGATGGCAGCCCACACCCGCAGGAAAAACTGGTTCGCGCGCGACGGAGCGGCCCGACCGAGCGAAAACACGAATCTTAGCGCGTTTACATCGTACGGTTATAGACTTAAATGTGCGATACCTAAAGCACATCTAGATGAGCTTTAGCATATTTGTTTTTTATTCGATCTTTTCTCGGCGAAAGAGGGTTAGCACATATAGGTGCGCCTAGTTATTGCACATCTAAGCTACTCAATCAAACTATGAAAGAAAAGAAAAAAATTGCACAAATCTTCTTGTAATACAATAACATGGGACTTAGATGTGCAATACTTAGAACATATCTAGATGCGCTTTAGCAAAACTGAAGGAATTTTTAGTAGATTTAGATGAAAACATTCATTGTTCTCGCTTGTTTACAGAGGCGCATCGACCTCTCAGGATTCCGGGGGCTGATCCACGTCGCCAGGCGTCCAGACCAGGCCATCAACAAGGTGAAGGAGGCACCACGGGGGCTCCCGGAGCTGATCGACGTCGTCCGTTCCTCAGGAGATTCCGGCCCTGTAAACCTCATCACCCGCGCTAGGCTGATTGCCTGTGCGGCGCCGCCGTCACATGCCGCAGCAGCTGCCACCGCCTAAGTGGTCCCTCAAGGATAGCTTGTCCGATTGTCTCGTGGAGATTTTCGAGGTATCTGTCAACTTCCCTCTCCGCGGCCATGTATGGGCCTTCGGTAGCATTCACACCACTCGCAGGGTCATCTGCCGGAGCAAAAACGCCAAGGAGTTCTACTCACGAAGAGCAAAATGGGCAAGAGACAATCCCGGAGCCGAACTTGTAGATTTCAAGGTATGATCATCGTGCTACTACTAACTGTATATATCCCTCTCTCCTTGCTAGCCAGAGGACCCAATACGATACGATGCTCACACCTACCGCATGCATGCATGAATGCAGATGACCCTGCCTCCCAGCGGGCCAAACTGCTACAACTATGCCGAGTCTGGCGTTGGCCTTGGAGTGACGATCGCCCCAACCACGAAGAAAGCCACGGAGGAGCACGCCCGGGTGGTGGTGGACTGGTACTGCATGCCCATGTCCGACAGATGCAACACCATCTCCATCCGAACCAGCATGGGCGTCGTGGACATCCTCTGCGCGGTGATAAGCGGAGCCGTGGAACTCACCATGTGTGTCGGTCTGTGCATACCCACGGAGCTATGCACGGGTCTCTACGGCCGCATCACCGCGCGCACGGACATATATGAGCCTGAGATCACGGTGTTCAACAGAGGTGTCAAGTCGGCCATAAACCCTTTACGGCATGTTGCCCGTCCACTGCCAGACTTTCTGTCCGCTGAATCATACCGCCATGTAACCCTTCCGTTGGGGCGGACTGTCCTCGCACTGCCGATTCAAGCGTCGCGCATAGTGTTCAACGGGGAGCTGGTGATAGGGGGATCTACAACCGTGAGTGTCCACCATTCCATCATTCTCGATGCTGAGGAAAGTGAGGATATTTGCAGCCCGTGGGTCAAGCACGAAAACTGCTATACTAGAGTGGCCCTGTCTATTAATTAGGTGGGCACGCTAGTGTACACACACATACATGGTGATCAGGTATGTCCGTAGATGGGTCATCAAACTATGTGTGCTGCGTAGTAGAGTACGAAGGATCCACGTGCAAGCTTGAGCCACGTTTAATCACCGTGGATGATAACGCCTAAATAGTGTGTACCATGGAAGAAGATGGGGGCTATTTTTGACATTTTGGAACTGAGAATAAGGCCATCGGAATTGCTAATTCTCAGTCAGACGACCGGAGAGCTTTCAGATCGTTTCGTTATGATACGTACAACTGGGCCACGACACATGGCAGCGGCGAGCAAATTTTATTTGGAGCTTACGACGCTTAATATAGGCCTATCGATACGGGGCGCACAACCCCTCCTTTGTTAGGTTCTAAGTGGGCCACCGGCCCATGTTATCGGCTGTGTGCGTCAAATAGGAAATCGGGATTGCTAAATCTTAGTTGACTGAGACTCAATCAAGTCACAGTCGATGCTATATTCATGAGGTCTTACGTGAAGATTCGAGCAAAATTTTCTTTTTAATTTTTTTTTACTTTCTTTTATACGCACGTTATGTTATCTAACCGAAAATTAGTTAAGTCTTAGTCGACTGAGATCTAGCCACACCCATAAAAAATCGTGTTTAAGCCTCTGTGGCTGGTAAGAGTGAGAACTAGGGTTTGATATTTGTTTTCCCTTTTTTTTTTCCCTTTTTGATCTCATTGTAAACGGAGGGCTTCATATTCTTGGCTCGGCGTGAGGGGTAAGCTTGACAGTAAAGGCGGCACTACACGCCTGAACTCTTACCTGCTCCTTGTGATATCTTCCTCCCAAGGCCTCGTTCGTGATCCAAGCCTATGCGTAGCGCGAGCAATGCTGCGTGGTTCGTAGCATGGGTGATAACGTTCTCAAATTCGACGCATCGAGCCGTTCTTTCCTTACAGCCTCGGAAACACGCGTTGCACCGGCCAGTGCGCAGCATTTGGTCTATTATTTAGCCGTGCGCTCGCTCTGCTTTCATCTATTCTTGCAGAAACAACACGCCGGGCCGACCCAGTTGCACCCATAGAAAAAAAAAAGAATCACACTGAGAAACAGCACACAAGCAATGCGTGTGCGCGGGCGGGGTGTGGGTGGGCGTTCGGTTGCTCGGCGCGACGGGAAAGAAATGGTAAGAAAAGCCAAGGCCTTCATTCCCACAGCGCGGCTCACGGTGCCCGCGGGTGCCATGCACGTTGGCCGTAGCAGCAGGAGGAAACTGGCGTCCCGGCTGGCAGGGCTCGTCCGTGTCCACGGCGCCGCCGCTCTCGGCTATCCGCCAAACCAACCAGCCAGTAGCCGCTGCCGCTTCAACTTTGAAGTTTGAAGTTTGAAGGCGCTGCCAGCCAAACAGAGGGGCCCGTTAGCCGCGGCCGGTGCAAGAAAGAGGCAAGGCCGTCCCCGTCCTAGCCCTCCGTCGTCACGCCCTCAGAATCGAGCTCGTGGGATGTCCGTCCGTTCTTATCCATCCACACCACACTGGCCAGTGGCCACGGTCTTCAGTAAAAGATGGCAGTGGTATTTGGGGCGCCTTTGCTGGTTTCGACGAGGCGCCATCGCCCCACCGGCGGGCCACTAGCCTCGGCCGCCGAGAACCATCATGGCAAAAATATTGGTGCCAACCAGCCTAGGTAGCTGCTAGGTAGACGCCCGTCTAAGGAAACATGGGGTTAATGTACTACGTTAAAAGACTTGGGACGAATACAAGAATCCAAAGCTTGCCCATGAAATGGTGCAATTGCTACTAGTACTAGCTTTTGGATCCGCTTTGATGGTTTCCCAATAGAAAGCAGCTTTGGGAAAGCCAGTTCAAGGGCATGCAACTCCCCGGTGGTAACTTTTGGGAATGGGCATGGGCGATCCTTCGTCGCCAAGAAAACATGTGTGCTAAGACAAGTGTAATGTGGAGATGGTTGAGTGGTCTTTCTTTTTTATATGTACGTAATTCAACAGTTCCCGTAATGATTTAAGTGAAAAGAGAGTGTAAGTTTTATGCTAAGACAAGCACAATGTAGAAATGATTGAGAGGTCATTTTGAGTGGGCATAGCTCAACAAATCTCAGAATACTTAAGAGTGCAAATTTTGGCTCGTCCAAAGCGGAAATGTAGAATTCAATGTTGTTTCTTCGTTTTTCGAGTGTTATTTATGCACTTCCTCACTAAAAATACGCAATTTCAAATCCAATTCTCTTGTTTCTATTTATTTGCACCTACCACATCTTCGCGTGCATCAGATTACATGCGTCAAACTCAGGCAGTTGCTGTCATTGCAAAAGAAAAGAAAAGAAAGGGTAATCGCTGAGCCAAAACACTTGCTCTTTTGTTACAAAGGTCATTTGTTTGAAATGGAGGCAAACCACACCTCGATGTTTGAAATGGAGTACAAGAAAACTATGTTTATTCGAACAAATATGGCCAATCTAAACTTTATCGACTTGGGGAAATGAGGCACATCTCCTACCTCTGCTTCAAAAAGAAAGTTACTCTTTCAAAGCTTTCACTGCACAAAGTATAGCCAGCACATCATCTTTTTGATAAATTTCACTTGTTTAGTTTGTAAAAAGATCTAACATCCATATCCAAATATTAGGTTTCATATATCTATGCATCATTTGCATGCTGCTTTTTTTCTAGGGAAACATCATTTGCAGCTGCTCACTAATCAGCGTATCACACAAGACACAAGCTACTCCTTCAGAAGTTTCATGCTGCCTGTGTTATCTCAATCCAAACAAGATTATAGAGTCACTGACACGACACCCCAAAGACCAAACCGCTTCCGCCGATCACACCCCACCCCAGTCCAATCCAAAATCTCCTATAAAACGACCCCAAAGCCCTCTCACCAGCCACCACAGTCCACAGTCCACAGTCTACTGACCAACTAGTGTGCCGAGAATTCAGTGAGCCCGCTAGCTAGCTAGCTAGCCACCGCCATGGCTTCCCCTAAGCTTCTCCTCCTGCTGGCCACCCTCCTCCCGAGCTGCGGCCTCCTCGTCGCCGACTTCGCGCCGATGACCCTCACCGTGGTGAACAACTGCGCGTACCCGATCTGGCCGGGCATCCAGGGGAGCGCCGGCAGCGAGGTCCTGGAGGGGGGCGGCTTCTTCCTCCCGTCGCTCTCCCACCGCTCCTTCCCGGCGCCCGCCCACGCCTGGTCCGGCCGCGTCTGGGCGCGCACCGGCTGCGCGCCCTCCGCCGCCGGGGCCGGCCAGCTCCGCTGCGCCACGGGCGACTGCGGCGGGCGGCTCCAGTGCGGGGGCCTCGGCGGCGCGGCGCCCGCCACGCTGGCGCAGGTCTCCCTCCACCACGGCGGCGACGACCAGTCGTCCTATGGCGTGAGCGTGGTGGACGGCTTCAACGTGGGGCTGTCGGTCACCCCGCACGAGGGACGCGGCAACTGCCCCGTCCTCGCCTGCCGCAAGGACCTCACGCAGACCTGCCCCGGCGAGCTGCAGGTGCCCGGCGGCGGCGGCGGCGTGGCCGCGTGCAAGAGCGGCTGCCTGGCGTTCGGCACCGACGAGCTGTGCTGCCGCGGCGCGTACAACAGCCCCGCCGCCTGCCGCCCCTCCAGGTACTCGGACTTCTTCAAGAGCGAGTGCCCGCAGGCCTTCACCTACGCGCACGACAGCCCCTCCCTCACCCACCAGTGCTCCGCGCCGCGCGAGCTCAAGGTCATCTTCTGCCACTAGACTGAGTGAGTCCAGCCAGGGCGGCGCTCGCCGTGCCGCCGCCGGCCGTCAGCAGCTATGACTGGTCTGGGTCTGGGATCGATTAGTGCAGTGCGTGTCAGTCATCTCATCAGTCATGTGTGAGTGAGTGTTGGATTAGGCTTTGGAGACTGGCAGGCTGCCCGGTGTGCTTGCTGTAGTTCGTGCTCTGTAGGCGTTCACCTCTCGTCTAGTTGTATGGTGTTAGCTGCTGAGATTCCAGTCTGAAATAACATGTTTAGATGGGCATTGATCTGGTCACTTGGTCGCAAATGTTTTTAATCACTTCTATTGTGCATTTGAGTTAAAGTCCTTTTTCCCCATTTTTCCTCTTAAGACATGGCAAAATCTCTGTGCAAAAGCAACATGTGTAAGGCAGATCTAGTGCCTTCACAGTTCACACCACTGCTCGACATGTATGGGACGTGAATTCTCACATCATTTTGTACACTTACAACATGGTAATGCTGTAGGGTTGAACTTGAACAGAACGGGCACTTTGCAAAACAAAACTGACTCAATCGATACCAGCAGGAAAGGTTGGCACCAACAAGCCAAGCCATGAACTCTACACCGCATACTCTGTTCGATTCGATGTCTCTCGTCTCTGCTTTTCGTAACCGGTGTCCACTCGTCCCTTTCTCCTTTCAGTTTTCTCTTCGGTTTGGCCGTGTCCTTTTCGTCACATCCTGGGATTGGCTTGTCTCTCTCTGCATCATGGCGCATTTCGGCTGCGGCTTGGCTGAGTAAGCTCTGAGGCTAGGAGCGGCTTGTCAGTAAAAACGTACGCGAAATAAACAGAGTGCCTTCCACGATGAAGTAAATCACATCAAAATATTGGATGTGAGTTATAGTATAAGACATGTTGGGTTCTAATAATAGAGAAAATAATCATAAGAAATCTTGATCAATCACACCCCCTTTGCGTTTGTGGGTTTTCAGATGAACCTTGAGAGCTGAAGCTGGACAGATGAGAGAGCATTGATGTGATCATCTGATCAAGCAAGCCGGTTTTTGTATAAGCTTGGACCACCCTCCCTCCCTACCGTTGGTGCTGGAGCCTGCACGATACCCGCATGACTGCTTGAAAGCGTCGAGCGGCCGTTGCATACTCTGCATGGACGGGTAAAGGCTTTGTAAAAAGGGCGGCATGCATGGCACTAGCATGACTGCACGCGGAACTACCATGAAAAGTGTTGCTTTTGGATTCAAAACTAGTCATGCTATTGCATGGGAGTGGAAGCCACTTTTGTCGTGCCAATACTGTGTTGCTTATATCGAAAGTGGCCCCTACGAAATGAGATAAACATCAATCGCCAAGTGATCATGATTTTGTCTCCGAGAGAGAGAGAGAGGAAGCCTAACCAAAGCTATGCTTGGCCAACACCACAGCAGAGGCCAGAGGCCTTCTTTTTTTTTTCCTTTAAGAATCACAATAGCAGAGGACCTACATGCTCATTCAAAATACTGGGCCTGTTTGTTGAATATATGGTTTGTGCATGTATATTGTATAGTCCGGTCCACTTTTTAGTCATTGTATAGTTGAGATTGTGGCCCACCTTGTACTCCATATATACGTGCGCTATGCACCGATCAATACATTGAGTTGCATTGCCAAAATATTCGTTTCCAACATGGTATCATACCTACGATCCTAACCCTAACTCCTGCCGCCGCAGCCGCGATCCCATCGCCGCCGCCGCCGCGTCTCCTCGCCACCACGCCGCCGCCCCCTGTGTGCCGCCGCCGCCTCACGCTTCCGCCCGCAACCCGCCGCGCCGCTTCACCACGCGCCGCCGCCCTCCCCTCTCGGCCATGGCCTTCCCCGTTTCCACCGGTACCACCCGCAGCCGCCGCACCAACTCCTTCGACGGCCCCGATCCCGTCGTCATCCGTGATCTCAATATCCTCGCTCGGGTTCCCGTCGTTCTCGATCAACTCACCTGCACCTACTATGCCTGGAAGACGTACTTCTTCCTTGTCTTCCGTGAGTACAATCTCCAGGGATCACATCGATAGCTCCGTGGACTCCCGCTTCATGGAGGACGATGAGGAGTGGACGTCCATCGACGCCACTCTTATCCGGTGTTTTCTACACCACCATCTCGAAGGACCTCTTCCACACGGTGGTCTCCGCCGATGATGACGCTCATGCCGTTTGGACTAAGCTCAACGGCCTCTTCACTGACAACGCGCTCCAATGCAAGGTTTCTTGCATGGCGAGTTTTTTGGGTGCCAGCAGCTTGACTCGTCGGTCGACGATTATTGCATGCGCCTCAAGAAGCTTGTCGACGAGCTCCGTGACCTCGGCGAGAAGGTCTCCGACGAGCTCCTCCTCAGCACTCTCATCGCCGGCCTGAACGAAGACTTCAGGAACACCGCCTCCAACATCCCTCTCATCACCAACCCGACCTTCCCCAAGGTCGTCGCGTACCTGAAGCTGGAGGAGAAGAGGATGCGGATGTCGCGCGCCCAGGCCACCTATACGGCTCTCACCGCCGGAACCCGCGGCGCCCACCGCTCCGGCTCCCCCACCGCGGCCCGCCCAGGGGCCCCTCCACGTGCAGCCGCCGCCCGGGTTCCCATATCCCGCGCCGCCGCCGCCGCCGCCGCCACCCCCCGCCGAGCAGCAGCAGCGCCGGGGCGGGCGTCGCGGCCGAGGTGGCTGCAAGCAGCAGCAGCAGCCGCCAGCTGCCCATGGCGGGGCGCCGCGCTAGCCGCAGCACCCGCTCCCGCCGGCGCCCTGGCAGGGCGACCAGAACCCCTGGAGGGGGGTTGTTCACGCATACTCCATGCCCATACCGCGCGCCCCCGTCCTCGGTGTTTTTGGCACCCGCCCGGCCCCTCACCAGGCTCTGTACGCGGCCCCTCAGGTGTATCCGCTGGCGCTGCTCTACGGCCCGTCGGCGGCCTATGGGCTGCCTCCGGCCGGTGGGCTCGTGGCGCCGCCGCCACAGCCTCTGCCGTCGGCCCCGGCCCTCCCGCCGGCACCATGGGACCCCGCGCTGCTAGCGGCCCTCCACACCGCCCCCATGCCACAGCAGTATGCCGGCGGTGGCGACTAGTACATGGACACCGGAGCCACGGCTCACATGGCCGCCAACCCCGGTAACCTTCTTACCGCTCACCCTGTTCACACTGCTGCTCGCATTACCGTGGGCGACGGTTCTTCCATGCCCATCACTCATGTCGGCCATGCTGCTTTTCCTTCTAACTCCGTTCCATTACGTCTTTCTAACATCCTCGTTTCACCTGACATCATTAAAAATCTTGTTTCTGTTCGTTCTCTTACACGTGAAAATCCTGTCACCATTGAATTTGATATGTTTGGCTTTTCTATTAAGGATGCCCGTACCCGGATGGTGCTCCACCGATGTGACAGCCCCGACGATCTCTACCCGGTCCACTCCTCCACATCCTCCGTCGCTGCACCTATGGCGCTTTCCGCTGGAGTGGACCTTTGGCATGCTCGTCTTGGTCATCCCAACCCTGCCACCCTTCGTCATATTCTTCGCAGTTTTTCATTCACGTGTAATAAGATCGACGATCACACTTGTCATGCTTGTCGTCTCGGCAAACATACTCGTTTACCCTTTAGCACTTCCTCGCATGTTGCTTCATTTCCATTTGAGTTAATTCATAGTGATGTTTGGACCTCTCCTGTTGCAAGTAACACGGGCTATCTCTATTATCTTGTTATCCTTGATAATTTTTTGCACTATGTGTGGACCTTCCCGTTGCGGCGAAAGTCGGATTCTGTTGCCACTCTCACCGCATTCTACTCCTATGTCTCCACGCAGTTTGGTCGCCCCATTCATGCATTGCAAATAGACAACGGTAAGGAGTTCGATAATCTTGCCATCAGCAACCTTCTCACCACACATGGCACGATTTTTCGTCTCACTTGCCCGTACACTTCGCAACAAAATGGTCGTGCTGAGCGCGTGCTTCGCACTCTTAATGACTGCGTTCGCACCCTCCTCTTTCACGCCAACGTGCCACCACGTTTCTGGCCTGACGCGCTCGCCACCGCATCACTACTCCTCAACATCCGTCCCTGTCGCACTCGCGGGAATTTTGCTCCTCATCATCTTTTGTTTGGCACGCCACCTTCCTACACCGAGCTTCGCATTTTCGGTTGCTTGTGCTACCCTAGCATCGCGTCCACTACTTCTCATAAGCTCGCACCACGGTCCGTGGCCTACATTTTTCTTGGCTATCCCCCAACACCAAAGGCTACCGCTGCTATGATCCTATCTCACATCGGGTCATCACTTCCCGACACGTTTACTTTGATGAGATGGTTTTTCCGTTTCAGCAGGTACCTTCGGATGTTGCGGCCTTGCCCGCTCCTGGTGACGGCCACTCGGGCGCTTCTCTCGGGCCGCCTCCTGGCTTTGAGGGTGCCCGACTTGCAGTATGCCGTTCAGCAGGTCTGTCTTCACATGCATGCTCCGCGTGACTCTCACTGGACCTTGGTGAAGCGTATCCTCCGTTACATATGCGGCACTACGTCCATGGGACTTACACTGACGGCCTCCGCCTCTACCGACCTCGTCGCCTACTCTGATGCGGACTGGGCTGGCTGCCCGGACACACGGCGCTCCACTTCGGGGTACTGTGTCTACCTTGGGCCGTCTCTAATCTCTTGGTCTTCCAAGCGACAGCCCACAGTCTCTCGCTCGAGTGCCGAGGCAGAGTATCGGGCAGTGGCTAACGCCGTTGCCGAATGCTCTTGGCTTCGTCAGCTGCTCCAGGAGTTGCTTTGTGACGTTCACAAGGCCACACTCGTCTACTGCGATAACGTCTCCGCCATGTACCTCTCCGCCAACCCGGTCCATCATCGACGAACGAAGCACATTGAGCTCGACATACACTTTGTTCGTGAGCAGGTGGCCCTTGGGCGCATCCGGGTCCTCCACGTCCCGACGGCGCAACAGTTTGCCGATGTTATGACAAAAGGACTGCCTACTTCTGTTTTC